GAGAAAAGTGATTCTTTAAGAATGGCATAATTTTCTACTCACTATTTTGAAATAAAAATGTTACTTGATTTTAAAAGAATAAAAAGAAGTTACGTCAAATTAAGTTGGCTAAATTAAAAAAAAAAAGTTTATGAAATCCATGAAGAAGTTGAAGTCATTTTAAACCTGCAAGTTTCAATTTTGGACAAATGATTGTTTATTATTTAAAATGAGGTGATTAGCCCTCTCATTTTATCTCTCTCTCATCTTACCTCTCCTCTCTTCACCTCCCATTATTTGGTGGTTATGTCAGTTTTCACTCTTTTTGAGTGAAACATTAAAACATTTATGTTCGGTTTTGTAGTTAATCATTTCCCCACTTGTTGAGTCTTATAGTCTTAGATGAATATTTAAATGGTTTCATGCTCTTCACTAATCTCTTTACACATCTTCTCCCTGCCTTTCTGAATTCTTGATTTAATTTACCCCATGTAGGGTTGAATAGTATTATTTTTTTTTTAGCAGCAGTGCCCATGTATTTTGTTGTTGTTTTACTGAGAGCATCTTCTTGTTGCTTTTATACTTGCATAAGAATTTTATTGGATCTGTTATTCTTTTTTTTTTTTCTTTTGCAGGGGAAGATTCCGCCTAAGCTAACAGCTGTTGCCAATCTTCCTCCTTTTTTTCCCCCTCCAAAGCCCCAGCACATAGTTGTATATAGTTGTAAGTTCTTCTGGTTCTTCTATGTGAGCTGCTGCTACAGCATGGCTACTGACAGACAAGTGGTGTGGTTCCGTGCCTAGGAACGGAACCCAGGCAGCTGAAGCGGAGCACACTGAACTTTAACTGCTAGGCCATCAGGGCTGGCTCAGGATGTGTTATTCTTGAGTCACAATTTCTTTTCATCAAAACGTTATAGACATTACTCTGTTAGCTTCTCTCATTGAATGTTGCTGTGGTAGAGTCTGAGCCAAGCTGATTTTTTGCAGCTTATAGGTCATTTGATTTTTCTGCCTAAAACCTTAAAGAGTCCTTTTCTATACCTTATACCTTAACAAGAGTATATATGTATCTCACTTACTTTGCATTTCTGTCTCCTAGTATAGGTTATTCCCTTTCAGTCTACAAATTCAATTATCTCTTATTTCAGGGAATTTTTTTTCAATGTTTCTAAATACTTTTTTTCTGTACCATTTATTGGAGACTAGCTCAGGGAGACCAATTGTTGTTATGTTGGATCAAACTTGCCTATGTTTCATGTTTATCATCTTCTAATTACTTAATATATTTGTCTTTTTCTTCTATAAGACTATGATTACAGTTTTTCTCTCTAACATTTTTATCTGAGTCCATTCTGTTTCTTGCTGTGTGCGATTTTTTAATTAGATCTGTAATAGTGGTTTTTGGTACTCCGTTGGTTTCTATAGTGCTGCATTGTTCTTTTTATTTCATTCTATCAGTTTATTTTCTTATTAAGAGTTTCAATAGCATAAAATGCTCATGGGGAATCTTCTATTGATAATTGAGTGATGTTTTCTTCCATATTGGCTTTTTTATCTGTACTACTAGCACGCTATGGTAGAACATGGCTTGACCTGCTACTTGGAAATTCCCTTTTGTTGTTTATAAGTCTCTGTGTTAAATTGAAAAACTCAATTCCTGGAAACCAAGATGCTAGGTCTGGGTCATGTGGTAATCACTGAGTAGTTTTATTGTTTCATAGGACTGGAATTCGGGCTAGATCTTGAGGATATGGCTTCCCAGGCTAGTAAGGGATCAAACCATGAGAATGAGGAAACTCAGTGTTTTCCTGATTTGTGTGACCCACATCTCCATTAAACCAGGGCACAGCTTGTGAGGTAGAAGGAAGGGACACGTATTTGCATCCATTTTATTATCTGATGTCTTCTGTCCTAATTAAATGGATTGTGGCTTCTACTCAAAATGAACAATAGGCAGCGGAGTGTTTCTGCTGATGCGCTAACCCACAGGAATCCTAGGCTTTCGTTCCTCCTTCTTTTCTTTTTTAATTCTATTCCTTCTTTTAATCACTTTAATGTTTTGGGGTAGTTTCCCTGCCATTTATTTTCAACTTTCTCATTCTTAAAGTGAACAACTCTGTGTAGGCCTTGTTTGTTCAGATACAGGGTAGGTGACTTTTTCTTGATTCCTATTTCCACTTAACTGAGTCCAATTTGTCCTGCTTGTTTCCAGCTACAGTTTGAGGACTAGGTATTGTTTTCTGTCCATTTTTCTGAATGCTAATCGTGCAGCTGTTGCTGTATGGGAGAGAAATAGCTTAGCCGGCACTGAGCACAATTCTTGCTAGTGAACACGGACTTCACTTTCTCTTCTGAGAAACGCTCTGTACCAAGGCCTGCTCCAAGGTCAGAGGTACATTCTATTCCTGTGGATTTCAGCTCATGTCTCCACATTAGCAAAGTACACTGGAAGGTGTTAACTCTGGTGACCTTTCCTACTTCTCTTGAGGTCCTGGGGTGCTACACGAGGGCTTTTGCCATACAGGATTTGCTTTATCCTTTCTCAGAATTGGCTGCTCTCCACCTAAGTCTTCTTAGCTCTAGACTGGAGAGCATTAGTCTTAGACTTCTCAGTACTTTTTGGTGCCCTTCTTTCCTCAGTTTTGTTTCTAGGGGATAAGAAGCAGGGCTGGGAGCTGTTCTTTCTTCTGCCACCTTGAGACACAGCAGAAATGCTTGTTTCTTTACTTGGATGCCAACTTAAAAGCTGGTTTTTGCCTAATTTTTGTTCTTTTTGTTTGGTATTGTACAGGATAAATTTTGTGTGCTTGCTTCACTCGACCTTATTTACCAAGAAGTGCCCTCATATTCTTGCCTCCTTATAAGCTCTTCTCTACACTTTTCTCTGCTCCTGAGGTAATAGAGTCCGTGCTTGGCCTATAAAATGATAACGAATGGGTGATTCTGTTTTGAGAACATTCTGAGGCATGTGCTTCATTTTGCAGTTGCTTCATTCTTTGTGCTTCACTAGTAAAAATTGGAGGTCTTTCTCACTGCCATTTTCCTCTCATCCCATTCTTACTCAAAATAAAACTATTCAATGATGTTACTGTCTCATTTACAGAGAATTTCAAATATTTGGAAAATAATATCTGGGTATCTTTAAGAGTCTTCCCCATTGTTTACGTGATCAGCAGTGAGCTGGACCAGTAAGGGATGCCCTTCTGCCTTAGTCCATCTGTAGAGGTAACTCTCCCATTTTGTTCTATAGTCCTAGAGATCACATGACTAGGAGTAGGGCTAGAATAGAAGAAGAGATTTTCCACTATAGCTGCTACACAGTAGTAAGAGGTTAAAAAATAGACCCACTCTATGAGAGTAGAAAGATGGGAGGCATGTGGTAGATTGTGGGGTACTTACCAACGCCCAGTAGTTTTGGTTGGGTATCCCATTGATGTTCACATCTATCAGCAGCAGAATCAGTCCAAATAAGACAAAGATAGCACTAACAAGATTCATTCCTAGGCTGCCTTTTATCTAATGGAGACAACAGGAAAAAATAAATCATATATAGGATAAATGAAATTAAATGAAATAAGAATCAATTAAATTTAATGGTTCTTAATCTTTGAAATCTTGAAAAAAGTTTTGAAGTTGAAATGATTTTTTTCCCTCTGCCCTTCTGGGTAGTTACCAGGAAAACTATTCTGTATGCAGCCTAAATGTAGGGTATTTCTAAAGCCTGTAGAAAAATGTAAATAATGCAAAGCAAAAGCTCATCTATTATATTTGTCTAAATGCCTCATGCACAATAACAATTATATTCCCTTTTTAAAACAACAAAAAACTTTTAGGGAGCATTTTTCTGGGACAGGCACTGTGTTAAATTATTTAAACACATTATCTCATTGAATTCTTACAACTGCTGTATGAGGTAGTACTATACAGCATCCAGTTTTATAGATGAAAAAGTATATACACAAAAAACTTTGCTGATAAATTTAGGAACTTATGAAAACCCTAAAGTCTTTCTAGGGGCTGGATAAAGAACTCCGGATTTAGAACGAGGAACTTGTCAGAATTCTGTGGGTAGAGGTGTATGGGCAGAGTCCAAAACTTTCCCCAGTTTCTACAAGAAATCGTTTTTTAGTTCATTGGCAGATCCCCGGTCTGCTTTTGAAACAGGAGAAAGAAAATGATTTGCCAAGAACTAGAAACAACTAGAGCAGAGGTGGTTTCAATATTGTATTTAATTTAGCACAAGAGGAAAGAATGGAAAAGTGGAAGCATAGAAGCATGTTGCTCATGCTCTCCCAGGCTAGACTAGACTAAAATAAAAGAGCCTGATCCTGATTAACCACTCGTGTTGTAATCCCAAAATAAAATAAAGCATTCTTTCTATGCATCATTTATGGATCTTTTCCTCTAACTGAGATTATCCAAACAAGGGATCCAGATTGGAAAGGAAGAAGTAAAACTGTCACTATTTGCAGATGACATGATTCTATATTTAGAAAACTCTAAAGAATCCACCAAAAAACTATTAGAAATACTCAACAAATATAGTAAAGTTGCAAGGTAGAAAATCAACATACAAAAATCAGTTGCATTTCTATACACTAATAGCAAACTAGCAGAAAGAGATATCAAGAATACAGTCCCATGTACAATTGCAACAAAAAGAATAAAATACCTAGGAATAAATTTAACCAAGAGGGTGAAAGACCTATACACTGAAAACTATAAGACATTATTGAAAGAAATCAAAGAAAACATAAAGAAATGGAAAGATATTCCATGCTCTTGGATTGGAAGAATAAACATAGTTAAAATGTCCATATTACCTAAAGCAATCTACAGATTCAATGCAATCCCAATCAGAATCCAAATGATGTTTTTCATGGAAGTAGAATAAAGAATCCTAAAATTTATATGGAACAACAAAAGACTCTGAATAGCCAAAGCAATCCTGAGAAAAAAGAACAAAGTTGGAGGCATCAACTTTGACTTCAAAATATTCTACAAAGCTATAGTAATCACGGGCCGGCCCCGTGGCTTAGCGGTTAAGTGTGTGCGCTCCGCTACTGGCGGCTCAGGTTCGGATCCTGGGTGCGCACTGACGCACTGCTTCTCTGGCCATGCTGGGGCCGTGTCCCACATACAGCAACTAGAAGGATGTGCAGCTATGACATACAACTATCCACTGGGGCTTTGGGGGAAAAATAAATAAGTAAAATTATTTAAAAAAAAAAAAAGCTATAGTAATCAAAACAACATGGTACTGACAGTAAAACAGACACACAGATCGATGGAACAGAATTGAGAGCCCAGAAATAAAACCACACATCTATGGACAGCTAATCTTTGACAAAGGAGCCAAGAACATACAATGGAGAAAAGGAAAGTCTCTTCAATAAATAGTGCTGGTAAAACTGGACATCCATGTGCAAAAGAATGAAAGTAGATCATTATCTTACACTGTGCACAAAAATTAACTCCAGACGGATCAAAGACTTGAATGTAAGACCTGAAACCATGAAACTCCTCAAAGAAAATATAGGCAGTGCACTCTTTGACATCAGTCTTAGCAGCATCTTTTCGAATTCCATGTCTATTCAGGCATGGGAAATAAAAAATAAACAAATGGAACTACATTAGACTAAAAAGCTTCTGCACGACAAAGGAAACCATGAACAAAATGAAAAGACAACTCACCAACTGAGAGAAAATATTTGCTAATCATATGTCTAACAAGGGGTTAATTTCTAAAATATATAAAGAACCCATACAACTCAACAACAAAAAAATGAACAACCCAGTCAAAAGAAGGGCAGAGGATATGAACAGACATTTTTCCAAAGAAGATATACAGATGGCCAACAGGCACATGAAAAGATGTTCAACATCACTAATTATTAGGGAAATGCAAATCAAAACTACAATGAGATATCACCTCACACTCGTCAGAATGGCTATAATTAACAAGGCAAGAAATAATAAGTGTTGGAGAGGATGTGGAGAAAAGGCAACACTTATTCACTGCTCGTGGGAATGCAAACTGGTGCAGCCACTATGGAAACAGAATGGAGATTTCTCAAAAAATTAAAAACAGAAATACCATATGATCCAGCTATTCCACTTCTGGGTATTTATCCAAAGAACAAGAAGACACTAATTCGAAAAGTTGTATGCACCCATATGTTCCTTGTAGCATTATTCACAATAGCCAAGATGTGGAAGCAACCCAAGTGCCCATCAATGGATGAATAGATAAAGAAGATGTGGTATATATAGAATGGAATACTACTCAGCCATTAAAAAGACAAAACCATGGCATTTGCGACAACATGGATGGACCTTGAGGGTATTATGCTAAGCAAAATAAGTCAGACAGAGAAAGACAAATACTGTACAATTTCATTCATATGTGGAAGACAAATAAACACATGGATAAGGAGAACAGATTAGTAGATACTAGAGGAGAAGAGGTGTGGGGAGGGTGAAAGGGGTAAAGGGGCATATATGTATGGTGACGGATAAAAACTAGACTACTGGTGGTGAGCACAATGCAGTCTATACAGAAATTGAAATATAATACTGTACACCTGGAAATTGCGCAGTGTCATAAGCCAATATGATCTCAATAAAATAATTTAAAAAAAGAAAATCAGTCCTGTCTGAAAAGAAAAAAAAGTAGACCAGGAAATTGCAAAAGGTGGAGTGTTGTGGCCTAGAGAATCGCAAGACCTCTCTCAGTGATTATTTTTATAACCTCTTCATGTGTACGGAGCTGGGTGTTTTTAGCGATGATTTAACGAACTGTAAAACAAAAGTCAAATCTGAATAAGAATGGGAGGTATGTGCAAATAAAAAGTAAAAATACAAGGCAAGGCAGAACTGAGAAATGGCAAATGAATAGTAGAGTCTTTGATGCTGAAGTGGCAAGTGGGGGTTTCCTGGCTCTTGGATTCTTCTTTGGAGTTCCCCTAATGCAGTGTGACCCAACTGAACCGGGGGCCTTTAGGATAAAGCTGAACAACCCTATCTTCACTGATTTCCATTCTTGTGAGTTCAAGAGTAAGAATGTGGAGCTCTGCCATTTCTGAGTGGCAAATTGTGTGGACCATAGGAGGACACATATGCCGTGGGGGCAACCAATAAATATTTTGGGAAAAAGTGCTCCCCTTCGCGTGTTCTGAATCCACCTTGTCAATTTTCCTCCCTAAGTAAATTAATCTTTAAAGGGGTTTAAAAAGGAGAAACATTCTGACTTACCAGGCCAGGGGAAAATTGCTTGGATGCTGATACGGAGAGAGAGCCAGTAATAATGAACTGTAGAAATAGACAGATTTATTTGTGAAACGATGGGTTCTTTGATTGTTCCTGGGAATTTCTTCCCTTTATATGAAAGGCTGGTCTATTTATATTCATCTAGTTTCCTCCTCAAAAATTCCTCTCATACATCTCAGTTTTTCCGGACAAACTCTCAGAAGTTATGTCCTTTTGAGTTTTTTTTCTTTCTCCTTAGTTTCTTGCATATAAAGATTCTTCTCTTGTAAGCTTTCTTTGTTCTGGTGACTTCTGAGCTCACTGCTCAATCTCTTCTCATGATCAGTTGCATATTGTTAATTATGTTCCCAGTCACCTCCTTTTGCAACTCTCCACCCAACACATAGATTTCCGTCTAAAATGTAGTAGGGAACTAAAACTTCGGCTTGTTGATTACTTATCAGAGTAAAGTTTAGGTTATGAGTTTAAGCTGCAAGTTAAAATGGAAAAAAAAGCTCTCCTTTATTTATACCCAATCAGACTTGTTATTTCTCTAAAGTCTCCGGCTGATCAGATGTAGGCCTCATCAAAAAATGAGTTGTGCATAGGCTGGGGATATCTATAATTTACAAACTAAGAAGGAGATGTGTTCTAGCAATATACTCACAGAGACGCCGCCCCAGAATGGATATCCGCCGATAAAAGCAAGGGACGCAAAGGCCCCAAAAATGACGTTTTTATAAGTGAGGCATATTAAACCCAAAATAATTCCAAAACCGATGTGCATCAATCCAATCACGATCTGGATTGCCTGAAAAAGGAAAACAGGCGTTTTTAAATTGCTTCTTCATTTTCAGGAACTACTGAAACGTTACTGTCATTGCCACTGCTTATTATTGTCAACTCTGCCAAGAGCCATTGGTGTCATTTAGGTAGACCTCTACAGCAGGAGGTGGGCCATTAAGATTCTGATACACACTAGACCTAAGGCCTCAGCGTAAGGCCTTGTTTGAGGTATTTGGGTAGGCTTGCTGAGGCGACCCGAGAAGAGTTCTTCTGCTACTGCTTGAGCGCGCGTTAGCATTACCCGAGAGCCCCTTTAAAGAATCTTAGTAAAAAATGCTTTAATTGTGACTTCGGCAGCTGTCTTTTTCAAATGGACTGATTCTTTGCCTGAGTAATCCTACCTATGGGGAAAGAATCAATGAAGAAAAAACAGTTTATTGGGCATGAACTATATGCTTGATAATGTTCCAAGCACATTACATTTATTGTTTCATGTGCTCCTCCCAACAACTGGATGGAGACTCAGAGACAGAAAGAAGTTAGGTGTCTGTCTTACTTCGTTCAGGCTATAACAAAATACCATAGACAGGGTGGCTTATAAACAACAGAAATTTATTGCCTACGCTTCTGGAGGCTGAGAAATCCAAGATCAAGGTGGCAGCATGGTCGCCTTCTAGTGAGGGACCTCTTCCTGGTTCACAGCCGGCGCCTTCTCACTGTGTCCTCACATGGTGGAAAGGGCTAGGGACCTCTCTGGAGCCTCTTTTTTAAGGCACTAATCTGACTCATGAGGGCTCCACCCTCATGACCTAAGCACCTCCCCAAAGCCCACCTCCTAATACTATCATCTTTGGGAGTTAGGATTTCAACTTATGAATTTTGGGGGGAACACATTCAGGCCATAGCAGTGTCCAAGGTCACACAGTACTGACGGGCAGATCTGGGAATTTAATGCAGCACATTGACTCCAGAGCCCGTGTCTTAACTATTCCGTATGGCCTCCCCTCAGGCTCAGCTCAGCCCTGCCTCTTCCACGAAGTCTTCTTGGTTATACCAGTCAATTTAAGCTATCTTCTTTCTTTCTAAATTTCTGTTGTATCTTATGGTATAAATGACACACCTTATTACTTGGTTTTGTACTCATTTATACTCCTTTTTTAATTGCAGCTATGCAAAGATTTTCTTTTTGGCCAAGACATATATTCTGAAAGACAAGGGATTCATCTTTGTACCTCTTAGTGCACCTTCCCTCATCCTGGATAAACAGATTTGTGAGAAATAACTGTTGCTAGATTGGACCCGAAATTAATTGCTGCTTCTCAAGTTTACATCTTATGTGTCCGGGAAGACTGCAAATATAAAGATTGCTGTGTTTATTTCTTTAATAAATAGCTACTGAATACAATTAAATTGTATCAGAATTAGAAAAAAAACACTCCTAAATAATGCTAAGAGATTAATTTTTTTTTGAATAATGAAGTTCTTTGAGACTCTGTTAAAAGCTATGAGCCTTTTCCTCTGAAAAACCGTTGTCACACATCCATAGATACACACACCACACTTTTGCATGTAACTTCAGAGGTGTCCTGGGCCTCTTGTAGCCAGTCGTGGATCTCAGTTGAAGGACTCCTGCATTAGACATTGTATTTGTTTTTTACAACCTCTTCTCTAGAGCAGCAACTCCATCATCTGGCTACAGACTTCCTGTCCTTATTCTTGCCATCATCTTGATGAGGAGCAGCTAGATCTTGGATTAATATCAGCCTTCTTCTCTCCTAGTGTAACCTTGGCTGTACCACTTACTGATCAAAATGGCCTATAGGCCAGACTTAGTAATTTGGTCATTTAATTCATTCTGGATATTTGGCCACAGACCCGCTTTAAGTTCTGAGTCACTTGGGGTAAATGCTCCAGTTCCTACCACTGAGGCCTCTGCACTGTTGTGAGGACTAGGGGCTGCTAATGGCATAGATACACAATTTTTAGGGAGAGGAAGTAGCTTCTGCCACCTGGGGCTTTTAAAAAACAAAATTACACTTCACTTTAAAGTACTTTTATTGTGAGCCTTTTCAGTACCAGACAGAATGCTCCAGTGGCTCCCCATTCCACTCAGAGTAAAAGCCAGAGCTTTCTGTCCTCCAGGCCTCACAGGGTCTGGTCCCCACCACCCTTCTACCCTCCTTCTGGCTACTCCCTTCCTCCTTCATTATATTCTACTTTATTGGTCTCCTCCTGAGTCTTCAAACACATCACACCCTTTTTCCTCTAAGGACTTTTCTGACTGTACCTGGAAGCTCTTGCTCTGATATCTGCATGGCTCGCCCCTCACTTCATGTCTTTTCTCAGATGTCATCTTCTAAGGAAAGCGTACTTGGACCAACTTGAAATTGCTGCCCCCTCACTGCCTGGCTCTTCTTATCCTTTTACATTTCTCTATTCTCTCTATATCATTTATCACCTTGTAACACACTATGTACTTTGATTCTTTATTATATGTGTAGTCTGATTTCTGCCACTAGGTTTTAAGCTCCATGAGGGCAGAGATTGTGCCTGTTTTTTTCTCTGCAATATTCCCAGAGAATATTGGGGTTGGCTATGTGGGGTGCTAGTTTGTCCCCTTTGCTCAGTGGGAGCAGGGAATGTCCTCTCTGGCAGGAGGAGGATCTGAGGGGCCAGATCCACAGCTTAGATCTGCCTGTTGGAGGGGAACCAATGCTCTTTTTTACTTTCCTAAAACATTGCAACTTGAAATAGGTAGAAACATGGCTAGAAGAGTTTCTGGCAGATAATGGGCACTCAATATCATTTACTGAATGCTCTAGAAGAGAAGCTAGATGTGCACACAGGAGAGGCAGTACGGTTTGGTGGAATTGCAGTACCTGGAAAGCACAGCAAAGGAACTAACAGTTCTGCCTAGGCAAGTGGAGTCTTCATCTTCAAGTAGGGCGTGGTTTACAATGCCTATGTAAACAAGCTTATGAATGTTTAAAGTAACCTTTATAAAAGTAATGTGGCTGTTAAGTCATAACATCTCCATGGGAGCTGGGTGAGAAGCACAGCAGATGGAATGGCCTCTAATTCTTTCACACCGAGTTTCCCCAGACTGCCTGTTTGTAGTTCCTGCTGTTTTTAAGGCAGCCATCAATGTTCATTTTAATGTGAATTCACTTGTCTTCAA